AGTGTTGTCCCATGAAAAGATATAATGAAATATTTGCAGAAATGTGAGGGGTGTACTCACTTTTGAGAGATAATGTACATACAATACATTACAAATGATGTAGGATAAGTTAATTTCCACACATTAACCATGGAACACTTTGTAATAAAACCTTCAGTTAGCTTTTGTTTAAAACTAGTTAGAGACGAGGGAGGCTGGATTGAGTCTAGATGGCAAGTTATTCCAAAACCAAGGACCGTAGACTATCTGGGGACAGTTGTAGTGAGATTATAGTTTAGGCCCTAAAAGGTGCCGCCTGTGCAAAGTAAAAAAGTGTGTGAGTTGTTTAACATGACTCGAGCTCTTGGAGAGTGCAGGTCTCAGATGTCCTTGACCAAGCACAAAAGCCAAGTCAGCTGCCAGAAAGTTGGTTAAGGCAGGACAAGAAATAAGAATACTGAATAATATAAAATTTTCCCCTCAAATCCCCTCATATTAATATTGTGGACTCTTCCTCTGTCTAATCCTGCAGATATAGAGCCAGTGTAAATGTGCCTGTGAAAAGCGCTGACTCTGAGTTCCTCTGACCTCTACAACTACAACCTCTGAAACTACAACAGGGATGATGCATTACGGGGCTCTCACATATCCATGAATGTTAAAGTAATACACCAACAATGCCATTATTAAAGTTAGTTTTTTTTTTACTCTAGATATTTTTATAGTCTCATTCATCAAACTGTCAAAAAAGAAAAACAGAAACAAATACACTTCTTTTAGATTTCTGACATTCAGTTAAGGTTTTCTTGAAACTCTTTGAGAACAAGAGACTTGATTATAAATAAAATTAGATTACAGCCTAAAAGTTAGTGTGTAAATGCTTTTTACACATGGGGTACCAAGGGAATACTTACTGGGTACATATGGGTGCACATAAAACAAAGGTGTAACAGATTTGCGTTTAAAGGGGACCTAGAACTGAATTAGTTGTACCTCCATAATTATTTAATATGTTTAAATTAATTAAAAGTATTTACAAACATATGTCATTTCACAAATGGTACTATATGTGACGAAAATAAGAATAGTAAGTATAGCCTTACACTTAATTAAAAGAAATATAATATACCCTGTACTCAGTGCTCTAGTTTATTCTAGAAATTTGGTGATTGGTCTCACCATATATTCTGGTTGAGACCAACTAGTCCAGCAATATATATGTTGGGTTTTGCTCCTTTAAAACAAAACCACTGATTATGTGCGCTTGTTTAGAAATCGGGTATTGATTTAATCCATCCATCCATCAAAATCCATCAAGGACGGGCATTGTCATTAGCGGGTAACCATGGTAACCAGGAGCCAAATCGATGTCGTTTACAATCCTACGCCTGGCTGCCAAAACATCATCTCACTGGCAAAAGTGCTCTTTTCTTCCTTTCTGACTTTGTCTTGACTCTGTCTCTCTCTTGGACCCTGTCTTGGTGGTGGTCTTGTACTGCAGCACTGCCTGTACTACACTCTTTAGAATTGAATGAGTTGACATTTTGCACAAGATGAACAAGATTTGATTTCTTGCAGCACCTTGATCCACCACTCAAACAGAACTTGGCATTATCATGTCTGTTCTGAAGTTATTTTACACTGTAAAGTTCCTCATTAGTTGCTCATAAAAACTTTTATTATCAGGATATTAAAGCGTGACCTTTATCGGCCCTCCACTGCTGACCAGAACAAGCTGCAGGAACATCACTTTTTATAGACTCACATATACACCTCTCTGACGAGAGAGGAGGGAGCTCTAATTCAATACTGAACCACTTGTCCTTCATGACGTCTTATCAGTGACATGCGCTGGAATATTTCTGTGCATCGAGGTGTCCTCAACTCACCCTTTATTACCTGTTTCTCCTCCTTCGCTGAGATCAGTTACTCGAAATAAGAGCAGAGGTGGAACACCCCAAGACGTCATTCCACCTGGTACCAGTTTTCCAGCTGTGAACACAAGTAACACCTTTTTTATTTGAGGTGATGCATTATAAAGATATACCATTACAGCTTGTGAGTCATTTCTAGCTGTCTATCAGATTTTATGGCAATGTAGCAACATAATTCATTTGAGTTTGGTTGTTCCAATCTTATTTTAAGTGTAGATATAGTTTTAATTTCAATAGATAGAATTAACACTGTGGTTGTTATATCTGTTGCTCCCAGACAGATTTAATTTTTATTTCTACTCTTGTTGATTGTTTTTATGGATCATTTTAAAAGGAGCTGTATTTTTGCTTTTATGTTTATGTGTATATACTCCTTTTGTAGTCCTTGATTGAAAAGTGCTGTAAATAGAATTTTATTACTATTACTGTTATAGCTAAAAAATCAACCCAATCCTGAAATTGGGAGGAAAAGGCATGCACACTGCTTCCTTTCCCCCCATTTTAACATTTACTTTAACATGCCTGACAACCTTGATTTTAAAGATTCATTATTGATATTAGTTTTGACAAAAAAAAAATCTTACCTTTGGGTTCACTTACCTGAAAACCCCATAAACTCCATAAATTATCCAACAAGTGAATCGTGTGCTAAGAATTTTTAAATATAACATTTGAGTTTTCCTCAGGTAAAGGTGAGGATGCTGCCACATCTATACAGATATATAATATGGTCTCTTAATTAGACAGCTCCGCAGTCGTCATACCCCCAGATGGACCCTGATTGTGCTGCTGGTTCCCTAGATTCACCTGCCAATAGATTCAGATTCAGATTC